CCTTCTTGGGCCTGAAATGGAGGAATTTTGGTCAATATTGATAATTAAACAATATTTTGCTAAATGTGCTTTTGTGCTGAAACCTTAGCTGGCTTAGGCCTGTCATGGATAAATAATGATGACAATAAAACCACCAGCAGGTGGCAGCAAGCCCTTGTTTTGATAAATTATTTATTGAATCATTCAAATCAAACGACTTGTTCAAAATGGCTGATTCAATTAGAAACGAAACAAGCCTGCGTCCCAATGTGCACACTATCCATCCTAAGTTCTTTGTGATATTAGTAATTTTCAATACTATTTAGGGCAGATAGGCTGGTATAAAAACATAAAAACTCATACATGCTTGAATTATAAGGTTATTTTACCTGTATTCTAATAGGCTTCATCGCGCAGTGAATGCTTTTGGACTCTCAAGACGTGTTTTTGTTTGTTTTTTGCAAGGTCGATGACTCGATAATGTCAGCTCTCCTATCGTCTCTCAATCCATCACAGTCACACATACAGCACAATAACATTATGTCAGGGGAATGTTTTTAAATTCTACTGAAGGAAAAATTATACCTTTTCTGTTGTCTTCTTTTTAAAGAAATTCAAAAGTTGCGCTTGAATCGTTTTGCGCGAAAAATGACGAAAACTTGCTTCCGCTTGTGCGCTGCTTGTTACAGAACCGAGTTCTGATTGGCCAATCGCCGTTATTCGTGAATTATCTTAAGTAGATAATTTTAACATTTCATTTGCATGATAAGTTTTACATAATAAACATTATTAATCCAAAGGGGATGGTAAGGGGGGTTACCCCCCTCAATTCGAGCCCTGGGTGTACATGTGAGTGAATAGAAGATGACAAAATGTTAATTTTTGGGCGAAAGGTTCAACTCCCACCTTATGAGGTCATTTTTGACTCCACAAGTACATTAATCCAATACATATACAGCTATCTTAGTCCATGGTTCCTTATTTACAGTAGATAGCTATTGTTTTTATTAAATTATTTTTATATAGTTAATGAGTTGTCTTAGCATACTATTTACTAAAATTAAAACATAAACAAAATACTGACTTTTTCTGAATAAGGTAAATAGTGTTGAGTGTATGACTTTGGACAAGTGTGACACAGGACAAGGAAATGCAAATAGATCGATTTTTATTTTTTTTACTTACCTAACACTGGCTGTAAGGCATGATTTTTTGTAAAATTGTTTTGAAATAATTCTAAAAAGCAATTATATACCAGACAAAACACAGGTGCAGGAGCCGGGAAAGGAAGTGATCAAATCTAAGTTTATTAACCTTAAATATATTAAACAAGTGTTATAATCACAAGCAAGGGAATGGAAAATTACTACTTCTTAACAGTGACATGTGGCCTTGAAGACCATGAATGAAGACATATGGTCACACAGCAATAACAATAATTATCAAGTGACAAATGTACAATGTAAGAAAAAAATCTGTAGAACAACAGAAAATGTCCTAGCAGAAAATTACCAGTACCTTTTCCATTAACTTTACAGGGATTTCCTTCAACCCTAAACACAGCACAATGCAAATCAAAATTAAAAATACATGTAAACCCCTGTGTAAAATCAATATGGAAACTTCCTTCATATTAAAATGGTACACTGGGCCTTATTTTTACAGGCTTTTTTTTGTGTGTAAATAACAAAAGTAATTCAAATATAAAGAATATAAAACAAATGCGTAAATGTACATGAATGTATCAATGTATGCACAATGCATTACGATGTATGTGAAATGTATATAAAGAAAAAGAAACAAACCCAATATAATTGAAATACAATACAGGCGTGCTCTCTGGAAGTGAATGCATTAGAGAGATTGGCCAGACTCTCAATTTTTATATAGTTAATGAGTTGTCTTAGCATACTATTTACTAAAATTAAAACATAAACAAAAATACTGACTTTTTCTGAATAAGGTAAATAGTGTTGAGTGTATGACTTTGGACAAGTGTGACACAGGACAAGGAAATGCAAATAGATCGATTTTTATTTTTTTTACTTACCTAACACTGGCTGTAAGGCATGATTTTTTGTAAAATTGTTTTGAAATAATTCTAAAAAGCAATTATATACCAGACAAAACACAGGTGCAGGAGCCGGGAAAGGAAGTGATCAAATCTAAGTTTATTAACCTTAAATATATTAAACAAGTGTTATAATCACAAGCAAGGGAATGGAAAATTACTACTTCTTAACAGTGACATGTGGCCTTGAAGACCATGAATGAAGACATATGGTCACACAGCAATAACAATAATTATCAAGTGACAAATGTACAATGTAAGAAAAAAATCTGTAGAACAACAGAAAATGTCCTAGCAGAAAATTACCAGTACCTTTTCCATTAACTTTACAGGGATTTCCTTCAACCCTAAACACAGCACAATGCAAATCAAAATTAAAAATACATGTAAACCCCTGTGTAAAATCAATATGGAAACTTCCTTCATATTAAAATGGTACACTGGGCCTTATTTTTACAGGCTTTTTTTTGTGTGTAAATAACAAAAGTAATTCAAATATAAAGAATATAAAACAAATGCGTAAATGTACATGAATGTATCAATGTATGCACAATGCATTACGATGTATGTGAAATGTATATAAAGAAAAAGAAACAAACCCAATATAATTGAAATACAATACAGGCGTGCTATCTGGAAGTGAATGCATTAGAGAGATTGGCCAGACTCTCAGAAACCTCTCACATGACAAAAATCACAAAATTCACATCAAGCACAATCAGGCATTTCTGCTAAAGCACGGCCCAAAAACATGCAACATTAATGATTAAAATGTTCGTTTATATTGAAGTGTGTAAGATATGTTGATGAGGCAAACTGAAATAACATCTAAGAACGACTACAGGGCTTTGGTTGGCTTAGGTCATCAGTCTGATCCATTACATTAGGCGTTTGAACCATCTACTTTCATGTATGTCAAGTGCAACTGGTCCATTCATTGAAAAGCCGATAAAAAATGTTACGCTTTTGTCCGATTCTTTGCATAACTGTCTTCTGAAAATTGGATCAACCTCCACACCTTTAACCCTGATCAAATCGTTGGCAATTTTGCCAGAAACTCTGCAAAGCTTCTTACTCTCGTTCATTTTCCTCCATATATTTTCATCATCCCATTGAGTTGAGATGTTCTGCTCTGATCCGCTGTTAATTTCCCTATGGAAAATCAGGCCATCATAACCTTTTTTTTCCCCTAGATAAAAATGGACAGCTGCTTTCTTTCCACTAGACCAAGGTTTCAGCTCAGTTGAGTATGACTCCTTCATTTTTGACACCAAATCTTGTAAATCACAGTTATTGTTGGTGCTCCATAACAATAAAACTTTGATGTAGTACAATGGCAGAATGGAGCCATCAGTTTTATTGAGTAAATTACAAAGGTCTTGGTAGGGCATGATGTACCGAGATTTAGGTTCGACTTTGGCAAGAATTACATTGGTGTAGATAAAGTTAACTGTGTCCATCAGTCTAGCCTCTTTAGACTTCAGAATGAAATTATACATCTGGATGATCTCTTCAAGAGTTGATGCAGAGTCTTCCTTATACAAATACTCAAGTAGGCCTGCATAGGAATCACCTTTGTTGCTCTCCAAAAATTGGCGCATCTGCTCAACATTAACCGTGCGGTTCACGTCCTTGTTCTTGTCCAGCTCACAAAAGAGTTCAGTATATTGCTGAAAGTAACTGGAAACCTTGCACTTTGTCAGGTCGTTTTGTTTGTCTTTCCCAGCAGAAAGGGGAACTAAGTTGACAAATAAATTGTTGAAAAAAACGAAATGCTGCTTCAACGTGTCTTTCAGTTGGAGAAGAAAGCGCTCGTGTTTCTGCAAATCATCACAATATTGCTTGAGTTCAAGCCCAGGGTTCTCTTTTGACAAATCCTTAATGGTAATTTTACCCAACAAGACGTGAGTAAGCCAATTGCTGTAAGTAAAACCTGCCTTAAATTGTATTTTTTGCAGTATTTCTATGACTGTAGCTGCAGTTTGAAGTTCACCAAAATGGCCAGCAGTGTTGTAGGTATTGTAATCAGTTTGTTCTTGTGTTTCGGTCACGGCCTCTTCTTTTGGAGTTTGTTGTGTGTTTTTGCAAGCTTCTGCTACAGACTCAGCCAATGTAAGAAACCTATCAAGACTATCTGGCTTGATGGGATCATTGTTGTCTTCAAAAACAAGCAGAAGTACCTGTGATACTGTATCACTTATGTAGGAGTCCTCCCTTGAGTGATCTTTGGCCTTCTTCACCCAAACCATGGCCTTGGTAAAATCCTGTTTTTTGATGCAATAGTACCTGGCAAGGAGCTTGAATATCGCTTCTTCTTCTCTGAGGCACTCTGCTGCATTGAGTAGAACAGTCTCTTCCATCCCTGGGGTCTCCTTCATTATATCTTGGATAAGACGTGAAAAAAATAAGTCTTCATGCTTGGCTGAATATTGCCTCTTCATCAACATGTCTTGAACATCCTGCATGAATTTTCGTTTTTCTGGAGTTTTCTCATAAAATAAGTCAGTTGTGAGCAGAAGGTTAGCAATTTGTTCTTTTGTCACTCCATGAGAAGCGGAAAGCTCTTCCAAACAGTGTTGAGCTATTCTTGAGTGAATCACCATCATGCCTTCAAAGGTCACTTTGGAAAAAACTGTGCTTCTTTTCAAAAGAGAGGAAAACTTCTCAAATGCGTCTTCAACATTACACGACTCAGCTTTTGTTTGCAGACCAAGAAACTCTTCACATGTAGAGACCGACAGCAATGCGTTCTTGGAGTAGACATGCAAGAGGACAAGAACAGCAAAAAGTTGAGCATGCTTGTGTTGAAAGTTGAAGTCCTTAAGGGTATTTTTCACAACACGCTGAATATAGCCAGGTGAAAACTTGTCCGCAATCATGGACACATAAAATGTTTCAGTGTTTCTGTTGGTCTTAAACTCCTCCATCTTTTCATCAAATAGTTTCAGTTCATTCTCAGATAAATAGTTTGGAATGAAAACGGCATCACCAGTTCCTTCAGTTGGTTCACATGAATCAACTCTCATGCAGTTGACAATAATGACTTGTGGAGATTTTGAAAAAATGTGCTGGTCCAAACATTCCTTCTCAATTTGATGTTGGAGTGATGTTACATTGCGAATGTCTTGAAAGCGATCAGTCATGAGCAAAACAGGAAGTCGTGTAGGTTGCTCTTTTGCCTTGTATGTTAGTAGCTGCACTACCTGTTTGGCTGCAGTAGTATAATCATCTGTTGTGTCTTTCAGCACTGCACAGCGGAATTTCTCCTTGAGTGTCCATTGAACATGCATGGCTAATGTAGTGCCACCGCAGCCTTGAACATGGACGATGTTGAAAAACACACAAGCTCTCTTCTGATGCAACATATTTGGAATAATAGTGTTTACAATGTAGTCTAACTTGTCACGTTTGATGACTGACGCTGACCCAGGCTGTTCTGAGTAGTAGAAGTTCCACCAAGATACCTTCCCTTCCTTATGAAAGTTCTCCTCGTGTAGCTGTTTGTCTTGATGTCCTCCATCACATTGGTTCACACAAAGAATACTGAGCATATGTAAGGATTCCTCGGTTTTCTCGAATAGCGCAACCTTACTGCCACCACAACTAGGCAGAAACCGTATTAATTTGCGCAACTCTGAACACAGACTGAGGATGGTGCCATTGATTTCAGCAAAACTTAGCTCATAAATGCATTTTGAAATGTCACATTTATGTCGATGCTTGATGAGATCATTCCAGTAGGTGTACAATGTTTCATTGTCACTGATGCATAAGATTTGGTTTTGTCCCATAAGCTCCTGTTGAAACATACTGAAGGTCTGAAACAAGGGGTCGCTGGCCTCGCTCACCTGACTAAATAACAAGAATATGACGAGAAGTTTCTTGCGAGGCAGCACTTGTCGGCACAGGAAAGAAACTACATCACGCACAGAGGATCCTTTCTCAGTCAACCAATTATCAGCATCAGAGGGAGTTTCCCCATAAATGCCTCCGTTACAGAAAAACCAGCTTGTGTTTTCAGTCCGCTCTAAGCTGCTTGCGATGTCTGCAACTGCACCTGTATCTTTATACTGAGCAGGTAAATGATCATTGAACTTTTTCCTCTCTTTGAGAAGCTTATTCAAGCCATTCTCAGCGGATTGTGGATCAAAATCCAAAACAGCCATTAGATTCATACAACGAAGGAAATCCAGGTTCTCCAGCTGAACAAGATGAGACTTGTTAGCCACCACAATGTACGACATAAAACGTGAGCAGTCCATAGAATGTGTCCCTCCTGTTATCATCTCACTCAATGCAGAGGCATGTGCATGGATTTTGACAACAGAGAGATGCTTTTCTTCAGCATCCTTCCTCTCCTTGGACAACTGTAGATTGTTAGCAATATATTTCTCATACTCCACCAGCTTGCTGCTGCTGCTGCCGTCTCTTATAAAAAAAGACTCGCCATCTTTCTTCTTTTGAGCTTGTTCATTTTTGACCACATCCTTTTTAGCTTGTTCATTTTTGACCACATCCTTTTGAGCTTGTTCATTTTTGACCACATCAAAAGTCTTAAAATAGAAGTCTTGACAGACAATGGCGGATGGCTCAATGTCTACCTCAATAACATATTTTCCTGAGAATGTCATGTCAGCTTTGAGAACTTCAACAAATCGAGGGGGTTTAATACACCTTTTTGCCATTTGAACATTTTGTTCACTCTCTGCTATGTGAACGTTCTTTTCTCTTTCTGCTGTTTGAACGTTCTTTTCTCTTTTTTCTTTCTGACCTTTTTTTTCTTTGAAATGTCTTTCAATTGCATGTTTCTGCTGTTCATCGAACTTATCTGTTTTCTGGACGCTAACACCCAGAATCTGTCCATGTTTGTCGTCTGCCACTCCGAAATGAATGGTGCCATTTGTGCGACTATTCATACAAGCTGCTGCAAATCGAATGACTTCATAAGTGTATTTCTCCATTCTGTCCTTTTCTTCTTTTGTGTTGGTGAAGGCTTTGAATTCATGGCACGGTTGTATGAGGTCTGTAGGACCAGTTTCAGTTACATCTAGAATGCTGTTTTCTGTGTACCTGTACGCAGCATCATATCTATTGAAAGGGTAAGGCTTCAAGCTACAAGACTTTTGAGTCATTTCTTTCAAAAGGTCTATGTTTTGAAAAATCAATTCTAATGCATTTAATGGTAGGTTTCGCATTAAACGATAAGCCTCCTTCAAGTGGAGAAGACCAGCTCCATTCATTCCCTGATTGTACAAAATGTCTGCATATCTTTCATCCATTTGTATCTCGAGCATCCATTGTCTCACATGGTCTTTGTCCCAGTCACTGATGTCCACTGGACGTTTAGATGAAAGAGCCGTCTTGCCTTCATTTTTCTAAAAGAAAATCAGCACCTAAAGTTATGTTGTATTGATGCTTTTGATGCCTGGATCTTAATTATTTAATAGAGTGGTAAGATGATGCACATAAAAATTATTGGCCTTTCTGGTGCTACGTACCTCAGAATGTCTTGAAGTGTCCATAATGTAACCAGAGACTCTTCTGATTAGGAGCTTATGATAAGAAATTTAAACATGGCATTAAAACACAGTGGGCCTCATTTACGAAACGAACGTACGACAGAAAATTGAGCGTATGGTCGTTTCAACGCAAAACTTGGAATTGATCAATATGGACGTTAGCGGTGGCTACGATCAAATCTCACGTCTGGTCTCAGCTCGTGGACGCAAGTTTTTGAGTTACCTAAACTTGCGCGCAGCATAGTAAATACGGTGGAGAATTGTACAATGACAGCGTTTTGTTCATTTTTATTTTCCTGACCGTCAAACGAAGCTCATTAGTCGATGTATGCTGTTTATAATGAATGCCACTATAATCTAATTTGTGTTTTATTTTATAGTTTAATATATAATTTTATAACTTTGTTTCTCCGTGTCGTAAACTCAGGGGCATGGCTTCTAAACTGGGGTGTTTTTAGGGGCGTGATATTCAAATGACGATTGTTTTCTGCCGCCACATTTATCAACGTGCGATCATTCGTACGATGAGATTGGCGGCATACGAATGTTTCATGAATCACACGTGAACTCTGGCATAAGTTGATTTGTGCGCACGGATCTGCGCTCGTTTCTACGTAAGATCGATAAATGAGGCCCAGTGAGTTGTATAACATAAATCAGGAAAATATTTTTATTAAAAACAAGCTAATAATAATAATAATAATAATTAAATACTTACCGAATCGAGGAACAGAATTTATATGTTTTGGGTTTATGGGTTTTGTAACATTTCAGTGCCACCTGAAATTTCATAAATGAAGAAGAAGAAAAAAATTATAGAACTATTCTATAAGACTAAACAATTTGATTACTTCAATTAAACAAGTGAGAAAGAAGGCAGGTTAATATACACGCATAATAAGCACATACTGTAAATGCGAATTGAAAATGTGTCTAACACTTCAACTCGTATGTTATTTCCAGCTCGATATAGACTGTGTTTTAACCCTTTGTTTTAAGTGTTGTCTCATTACAAGAAAAAAACAAAACGAAGCGTGTATTATATTGCAGTTGAAGGACTTGATGTGTAGAGGAAATATATTGAAGGAGGAAAAGAATTTCTGTTAATATTACTCTACTGTAAACATATAGGTACATGAGAATGAATTAGTTAAGAGTTAGTTTTAGGAGCAATTCAATCCATTATGGTCAATTATCAAAATCAGCTTTGTAAAATCAACCTTCCTGGTATTGTGTAACTGTAGACTGATCAAACTAATAGTCAAGCCAAGGCAAGCAAGCTTAGCATAGTTAAGTCAATAAATATTATATAAAATATGTAAAGTGTGGTACATTTAAATATGGCTTTGCAATGTAGTAGATGTTATGCAACAAATGGTAAATTTACAGTTCTTCAGAAACCTTTTTAAATCAGCCCTATTTCTTACTCTTTCCTATGCTGTAAAATGCATGTAATTCAGTGTGTAAACTTTGACCAATAATGTTAAATGTTAAAATGAATAAAAGTTAAATGAGTGAAAGCTGTTATATTTACCCCCATGTCAAGTATCCGTGTTGTAAGAGTGAAGTAGGATATGAACTCAAAAGTTTTGATCCTTCTAACTTTTCTTCTTCGTATGGGTGGACTGGATATGCAGAAATGAAAGAATTCAGCAAGGTTGCCAGATGTTTTCTTCAATATCACACGCATTTGTCAGTACTCTAGGGGTTAGCAAGGCTGTTATTTTAACTCTTATCTGTTGTTAAATGATGAATATACTAAGAGTTAGATCTTTGTAACTGATCTATTTTCATTGGTTAAGCAAATATAAAACAAATAATTATGTTGTTTGACATTTTCTTATTATATGTGTTTCATATTGTGATGTTGTTCACCAAGGCAGAAGTTTCTTCATATCGGATTTTTGAGTATTATCTGCCCAAACATGGCAATAGAGCTGGATGTGGTTTGTGCAAACCACTATTTCCTCAGGAAATGGCAACGAGACTGCCTCCACATCTCTTTAACACAGCATTGTCTTTACATTTTAGAACATTGGTATCAGAATTTTCAAAACTTTAGACTAGACTCACTAACTTTAGTTACCATTTACTTTAATCCACAAAGACTGCACTCAATGGGACAGTGTATAAACCGACATTATACACTGTTACGGTTTGTTATATTTGTTGTTTTTTCAACTTGAGAACGGCCATTTGATAACTGTCTCATTGCTTCAGTAATCTCCTGAAATGTAATTAGTTTATCTAAAGTTTTTTCTGTTCATTTGTCAGCTTGGGTAGATCACTCAGCAAATCAGAAGCACATTCAGGACAGCACATACAAGTCTCAGCACCATACAATGCCATATAAAAGTTAACGGCCAGTTTTCTTATTTCCACTGGGTCAAATGTTATGACCCCATCAGGCCGCCGAAGATGATTCATTTGCGAATTAGTTAAGAGTTAGTTTTAGGAGCAATTCAATCCATTATGGTCAATTATCAAAATCAGCTTTGTAAAATCAGCCTTCCTGGTATTGTGTAACTGTAGACTGATCAAACTAATAGTCAAGCCAAGGCAAGCAAGCTTAGCATAGTTAAGTCAATAAATATTATATAAAATATGTAAAGTGTGGTACATTTAAATATGGCTTTGCAATGTAGTAGATGTTATGCAACAAATGGTAAATTTACAGTTCTTCAGAAACCTTTTTAAATCAGCCCTATTTCTTACTCTTTCCTATGCTGTAAAATGCATGTAATTCAGTGTGTAAACTTTGACCAATAATGTTAAATGTTAAAATGAATAAAAGTTAAATGAAAGCTGTTATATTTACCCCCATGTCAAGTATCCGTGTTGTAAGAGTGAAGTAGGATATGAACTCAAAAGTTTTGATCCTTCTAACTTTTCTTCTTCGTATGGGTGGACTGGATATGCAGAAATGAAAGAATTCAGCAAGGTTGCCAGATGTTTTCTTCAATATCACACGCATTTGTCAGTACTCTAGGGGTTAGCAAGGCTGTTATTTTAACTCTTATCTGTTGTTAAATGATGAATATACTAAGAGTTAGATCTTTGTAACTGATCTATTTTCATTGGTTAAGCAAATATAAAACAAATAATTATGTTGTTTGACATTTTCTTATTATATGTGTTTCATATTGTGATGTTGTTCACCAAGGCAGAAGTTTCTTCATATCGGATTTTTGAGTATTATCTGCCCAAACATGGCAATAGAGCTGGATGTGGTTTGTGCAAACCACTATTTCCTCAGGAAATGGCAACGAGACTGCCTCCACATCTCTTTAACACAGCATTGTCTTTACATTTTAGAACATTGGTATCAGAATTTTCAAAACTTTAGACTAGACTCACTAACTTTAGTTACCATTTACTTTAATCCACAAAGACTGCACTCAATGGGACAGTGTATAAACCGACATTATACACTGTTACGGTTTGTTATATTTGTTGTTTTTTCAACTTGAGAACGGCCATTTGATAACTGTCTCATTGCTTCAGTAATCTCCTGAAATGTAATTAGTTTATCTAAAGTTTTTTCTGTTCATTTGTCAGCTTGGGTAGATCACTCAGCAAATCAGAAGCACATACAAGTCTCAGCACCATACATTTCCATATAAAAGTTAACGGCCAGTTTTCTTATTTCCACTGGGTCAAATGTTATGACCCCATCAGGCCGGCGAAGATGATTCATTTGCTTTTGCTGAACACTTTTCCTTTCAAGCTTAAAGAAATCAAAAATCACTTTTTTCTCCAGCTGATGAACGATAAAAAACTGGCAGCCAATCAGAATCCATCCTGCTGTAACGAGCTCGAGAATTTATAGCGGCAGACGCGCGTGCGCTTGGAATAAACAGACGATATCGTTCGCTGGTGTGGACGCTAATATCGTTATCTTTATAGTTATCATTCTTGGTGTGAACGGGGCTTTAGACATGAGTTATGTCTTAAATTCTATTTAAGAGTTATGTCTTAAATCCTTGCTCTTATTAACGCTCCCTTCACTTTTTCTTGTAATAATGAACTAAGTTCCTTCTTTTTATTTAGATGCTCATTTTGTAAATTTCCATCATTGTTATTCACAAGAATATTCTCCAAAGCTTGTATATCTCTGAAGTTTTTGTATCGCTGCTTTCGTAGAAAGTGAACTATAATTTTGACAGAAGACTCTTATTAGTTGCTTTACCAACCTCCCACCACATACACGGATTTTCAAAAGAATCCTTTTTTAAATTCCAGTCGTTCCAAAAAAAAGTTTAAAATTTTCACAAAATAAAGCATCCTGCAATAGTTTAATATTAAAGTGCCAAAAATAATTTGGCTTTAAAGTTCTTTTCATATTCAAAACAAATTGTGTCGAATGATGATCTGAAAACCCAACAGGTAAAATAGAAACTTCCATAATTTTATAATTTTATTCTTTACCTATATAAAAATCTATCTAATCTAGCTCCACTAACCCTATTATTAGATACTTTAAGCCAGGTATACGGTTTTATTCCTGTATTTCTTCTTCTCCAAATATCTATTAATTCAAACTCTTGTAAAATATTTAACAATACAACACTTGATTCATGATGGGGTTCTTCTCCATTTCTATCAATAA